GACTGTCAAGGACAAGTGATGATCGTGATAATAAAAATATATATATGAATGAAGCAAAGTTAGCTCGATCAGGACAGTTCAATACCCAACCAAAACGACCCAAGGTAGATAAGTACAACAATCGATTGCGCCCGAAAGATAAAACACACCGATAAAAAAGTTTTGAAAGAATCATTTTTCTTATATTTGATAAATATGATAGTGAATAGAAATCTTTCTTTAATTGTGTTTCTGTATTGATAAATAATTAAAAACAAAAAGTTGTTGCACAAATAAAACATACAATTTGTTATTTTTATATGTCACGTGTATGAGTCTACGAATCTGTCTTCAAGACTGATTATGATATTTTATTCAAAGAAGAAACTGTTTTTTAAAAACTCAACTTTCTTCAATACAGTTATTAACCAAAATCACTCTCAAAATAATTGAGCCAGTGCGTTTGGGTACGAAAGAGTCACTTCATTTAAGTTTAATATCTTAACCTGAGGGTGTGGGTGTGGGTGTGCGTGTGGGTATGTGGGTGTGGCTGTAGATGTGAGTGAAGACCAGATCCACACCCACACCCACATTCCATATTGGACATCTTCCAAACAGACAATATAAGTGATATATTACACTCTACAATGTACAGTATCCCAATAAAATATATGGAAAATAGCTTACATTAGCAAAGATTGAGTGATGAACTCATATTTAAACTAATCGTGTGTACTAAGTTAGAAAAAAAATGCAGTATCACTACGACATCTTAGCATTTCGTGAAGTAGAAACTACATGCGGTTTTATTTCCTTACGTTTTATATTTATGATTAAACTGTATGCAACGCTTTGTTCATGCACGAAAACAGCGTCACTTTATATTGAAATCTACCAAACAAAAGCTTTTTTCCTGTAGTATGTGCTTTCTTCTTAATCCTGAAGCGTTGAAAAAATATTCAAAATATCTACGATTTTGTTTGTAGTGCAGTAGAGTCTGTATGGTCGTATGAAATCTTGATGCTATTACCATGTCTAATCGTATCTTGAGATTAAATCAGAAATCCGCAGAAAGTATGCCTACTAACAGTTAGATTTACAAT